GCTCCAAACCACAAATCCAATTCGAACAACTGTGAGTGTGAGTAACGCCACAACCCAGCAGGCACGTTATTTGATAATCATCCAAAGAGTCGGGCTGCAGTCCAAATTAGGTTTTGAACACCTTACTCAGGGCCCTTTGAGCGGCCACATCATCAACCACCATTTGAAGGGGAATTGCAATCAAGAGTGTACAACAGCTTACTCCAAGGGGACAAAACGACTGTTAGAGAAGGCTAAACGCTCTGAAGACTTTCTGTAAATTAGACCAGGAAACAATCTAATGATTATCTTCACAGATTACTCAATTGCAAAATATGTCTACTTCAAATGCCAGCATGAAATAAAAGTTGCGATAGTCTTTTCTTCTCAATTGTGAGTGACGTAAATCTGAGTGAAACAGCTTCTAGAACAAGAAAAAAATGATCATCATGGGACAGTCATCATTGTTGTTTCTTTGTTCTGCTGAACACAAAATATATTTTAAAGAATGTTAGTTATCAAACAGTTGGCGGCACCCATTTAACTCCATAGTAGGAAAATTAAACACTATACACTATGACATTTTTTTTTTGTGTTTAACAGAAAAAAAGAAACTCATAGTTTTGAAACAGCTTGAGGATGAGTGATTTTTGGGCGAACTAACCCTTTAAGTTCTCAAAAACACTTCCAAATAGCTCCAAATAACGTAATGGCAGCATGAAAACGGACTAAACAGGGATGCAGTGAAACTTGATCTGATTTATGCACTGTAAAAAATATTTTCAAGATTTGTTATCACAACATTATTTTCTTTTGTCAAATCAACTTTATAATAATTTATTTAGTTGAGATAACTTATTATTTTGAGTTCCTGATGGTTAAATTAATCTACTTCATTGTATTAACTCACTTTTTCCAGTTCAATCAACTTAAAATTTTAAGGCAACCCAGGTTACTTACTTTTTTAAGTTAAACCAACAATATTTTTTACAGTGTAGTAATCACAACATTTTTTCTTTTGTCATATCAACTTAAATAATTTATTTAGTTCAGATAACATATAATTTTGAGTTTCTGATGGTTAAATTAATCTCCTTCATTGTATTAACTCACTTTTTCCAGTTCAATGAACTTAAAATTTTAAGGCAACCAGGTTACTTACTTTTTAAGTTAAACCATCAATATTTTTTTACAGAGTGGTATCTGACAATATAACAATAATACAAAATACTCATTACAGTTCTCCATTAACGATTTAGAAGGTTCATTTTAGATTATAAGAGAATGATTCGGACATTTTCACAAGGGGTACTTCACAAATAACATTTAAATAATACCTATCCAGTACAGCATGAAGGAGACAGGAAACAGCAATTAAAATGCTGCCCATCAAATTCCCCACACACTACTGTGAATTCAACTGCAGATACTGTAAAATGAAGAGATTGCTCAGTTTCAAAAAGGGATTTTCACTCAAATGTTAGCTTGTAGATACAGTATATGCTTCACTTTTCATCTCTCACTTTCTCTAATTACTGTCTGTAGTGTCTTTTACAAATGCAAGGACTTAAGGAAATCTTCTCCTCTGCATTCTATATGGTCTCTTCTCTCCCTCTCAAAACTGGTACATTATTCATGTCCCCGTCACTGGGGACCTGTGAGATGCTGCATACAGGGTTTCCCTTTTGCCTTTAAACACTTTAATGCAAATCTACATTAATACACATTATGTATTTATCTGATACATACACAGCACCCACTGTGATTAAAAAACACTCCGTGCCTACATTTAGTTCTAAGCATTTGCATTTGTTTTAGTTTCCTCCCTTTCTATTAGAAGCACACAAATATACACACGCGTTCCCTATTGCACAGATGCACAAAAAACACAGATCCTCCTATGATTGTCTCTCTCCTGTGCACGAGTCTCTCCTGGGATCTACATGGTCACAGAGATTCTCTGTAAGTCTTTTACCAGATGCTTGACAAGAAACACACACCATCTGCTATCAAATGTGTCTGATGCATTCCAGAGGATCTTAGAATTACCACAGAAAGCCATAGTGAAAATGAAGACATTATAGAACTTTTACCGCAAAGAGTTCAGCTGATGTTCACAAAGCTGCTACAGTATAATGCTCTATGGTGTAAATGCCATTGAACAGAGCAAATATCCTTGATTCAACATTGAATTAACGTAGAATCAATGATCTTTGCTATTTGTGGTAAATTAAACACCAAAGGAATAATTCAGTTCTCACTTTGTCCGTAAAGTTTAACAAAATAAAACCAAACTTTATAATGTGATTAAGTGATAAGAGTGAATTAATCTACCTCATTTCATGCAACAAATAATTGAATCTGGCAATCATGTGGTAGATTAATAAAATGATGAGTGATTATCCAAGACATGATAAGATAGATATCTATATGAAAACACTCACTCAATTGCTATGCACATTGTCTTCTTGGGAAATCAGGACCAAGAGAGTCAATGCAAAATGTAAAATCTATAGCTTTACTTAAAAGCAGGAAGGTGATTTGTTATGCTGGATGAACGTCTCTTGTCAGGTGGGACAGGTCAGTGCTTTTTAACTTGTTTATGTTCATAATTATTGTAATGTTATGTGCTTTAAGACATGGCGTAATTTACCGCCGTCTCTCGTCATGACGCTTTGCTCCCTGCTGTGATTCTGAGAACATAAAGTTGAGTTATGAGTTCAAAAGGGGGAAAAAATGGCTCTAGACATACAAATATTTTGCTCTTTGTCTCATACTTTCTCTAACTACTGTCTGTAGTGTATTTTACAAATAGGACATAAGGAAAGCATATTCTCTACATTCTATATGTTGTTTCAAATCACTAAAGTACATTTCTCAAAACATCATGATTTATGTTCCACTGACGATTTATGTTCCGGAGACCATGCCACCCTACTTTACACCTCCATTACTTTTACTAATTGAGTTGTAAAGTAGGTCTGCCTTGCTGCTGGTTTGCGTCTATATGCTCTCTATAGCTTTCTGTTTTGAATATCTATTTATATCATTCCATTTTGTTTATAATACTAAATATAACTTACTTATCGACTTATATTAGACATAGTCTAATATTGCTTATCACATTAATCTGATATCGCTAGCTTTTATCTAAATCGTTGTCGCTACCACAACACGCTAGTGTCTCGCTAGACTGTTAACCTGCCGTCAGTGCTTGCCGTCTTTTTCTGTTATTGTCACATGCTTCATGTCATATGTGTAGCATAGCCTTCTCTGTCAGCAAAAAGGGCTTTTCATGTGACAAATACAGGGAGATAGAGATCCGAACAGCAACTGTTATTTTTAAGGGCAAAGGAGCAACTGTGCCTAAAGTGCTGGAAAAGAGAGAGTCAAAAGTTTCTGTCACAATATTGAGTTCTTCTAAGCTCTCTGGGATGCTGAGGAGATGAAACTGATCAGGAATATTATTAAGTTGGCTTTGAAGCCTTGGCTAAATGAAGTATACACAAGACTAGATAATGTTTTTTTCACATTTCATGGAAAGAGAGCACTATTGAGTACAGAGAGGCCTTAAAAACAGCTAGATCTGCTTCTCTTTCAACCATATTAAACAAAACCCTAGGTCTTTATATGAAACAGTGGCTAAATTAACGAAACATAAAGCTTCAACGTTTCCAAGCAGCACAGCAGTAATGACTTTGAGCACTTCTTTTCTTACAAGATTGATAATATATCAGGGAGAAATGTATAACTATGCATCCATTTACTAAAGAACCGCTTCAGGCAGTGCATTGTAGTCTCCCTGGGGAAAAATTTGATTCATTTATTGCTATAGGAGAGGAAGAATTTTCTAAACTCGTTAAATCATCTAAAATGACAAAATTTCGGACCAATTACCGACTAAGCTATTGAAAGAAATGCTTCCAGAGGTCATAAATCCTCTTCTTAATGTATATAATTCATCTTTGTCATTAGGATACGTACCTAAAACTTTTAAGCTGGCTATGATTGAACCGCGTGTTAAAAAAAAACGCAATTTGATCCTACAGAATTACAGGCCGATCACAAATCTACCTTTTCTCTCAAAGATACTAGAAAAGGCAGTATCCTCACAAAGAAAAAGGAATTATAAAAAGGAAAAATATTAGTATTCAACGAACGAAATGAACGAATTGACTCGGAAAAAGATTTGTTCATTTTGAAGAGCAAGTTCGAACAGGAGAGTCACGAACGCGCATCACAGAACAGAGCAAGGCGACCATTTGAGCTAATAAAACTTAAACTTTATTTTTTTTTTTTTTTAAATGAACGATCGTTTCACTTGATAAGACCCTTATTAATCATCTGGAATCGTTTAAAGCCCTTTGAACAGTTTGCACTGAAGCTGTCTTTTGGACCTTGAACAATGGTGTCCAGTAAAGTGAATTATATGCAGAAAAATCCTGGAATGTTTTCACCAAAAACCTTCATTTCTTTTCGACTGAAGAAAGAATGACATGGACATCTTGGATGACATGGGGGTGAGTAAATTATCAGCAAATGTTTTTTTTTAAAAATGAACTACTCCTTTAACAGGCCATATCCAGGCCGTTTAAAGACCAGACAAACATCTTTGTTATGTTTTTGTTTAGGCAGTAACAGTGGTGATAGGTATTTGGCTTCCTATCAAGCACCTTAGAAGCTTGATGGTAAAGCTGCACAGGTTTAAGTGTTGTACTGGAGGCTTGTGCCCAGTCCATATTGTTAAAAGCGCTATATAAATGAAGGTGACGACTTGACTTGACATGACTATCTTTGTTGTTGTAACTATCAATCGCTCCCACAGCAGATTAATCTCACAAGAGGTTAATCTATTTCCCACCAAAGACACATCAGCATCTGTGACTTATCCCATCACCGTAAATTCTTCTTGCCATCCAGTCTAAAAAGCCATTAGATGAACTCTGTGTTAGCAATTCTCACTTTTATTGTTGATCAATTTCCAGCGTGGATGTGTTACTTGCAGATAAGGAGGCACTTACATGCAATTGTGGTGATAATGCAGCTTTGCCGTGCGCTCACAGAGGCATCTCCACTTTGCTGGATCACTGAGACCTGAAGAATTGACTTTATTTATCTCTCTTTCACTCTCTTTTACACTTTCTCTTTTGCTCAATTCAGATTTAAACAGAAAACACACACACACACACACACACACACACACACACATAAATATATGAAGAGTTCAGATGCAAAAGCCTCTAAATGCCATTTGAAATTTTCTTCTTTAATGATGATTTTTATCAAGCTTGTATATTTAAGTTCAGTAATTTCACTTAAATGGCAATGATAATTACCTATTAATTGTTATTTAAGTGAAATTACTGAACTTAAATATACAAGTTTGATAAAAATCATCATTAAAGAAGAAAATTTCAAATGGCATTTAGAGGCTTTTGCATCTGAACTCTTCATATATGCACTTTAAATACTGTACTGAGTGATTAGGCTATAACATGCACATATTCGACTGATTCATAACGGTTATTGAATCACTTAATAGAACTGACTCAAAAGAGTCATTCGATCAGGAATCGGAATATCTCAACAGTAGGCTACCTATTTCAGTTCGCATCGACAAAAACAATGCTGAATGAATCATTGACAAAAACAATGCACGTTCGAGAACGTTAACGGAATCCAACGTCTTGAAAATCATTCGGTTTTGGTGTTAAATGGGAACCCTTTTCGTTTTCATTCCAATCTTTCTGAGCAGAGACTTGTGGGCAAAATTCTTGACTCTCAAACAAGTCTTCACAGCAGAGAATATAAGAGCATGTCCGGCACGAGCATTAATTATTTAAACTAACCAACGGTTGTTCGCCTCAGTTTGAGCTTCTGTTATTTTTAAACCATGCCCTCCCTGCACAAAAAAGTCAAACACATATAGTGGTCGTCGTTAGCATGTATTCATTTCAATCTGGATTGTATTTAGTGCATTACTGCATTCTTTTTTGAAAACATGAATCAATGATTATGGCGTCACGTGATTTTAGGAGACAGCAGACGTGGGCAAACCTACACATGGAATGCTAGCCTAGATACAACCATGATTTTGAACGTTTCAGAGAGGCAACAATCAAAACCAAGGGCATGAACAAACAGTTCGAGAGCAAGGTTAAACTTGAATGGTTAAAAAACACCAGGGACATATCCACTTTTCTAACAGTTCCCGCTTCTCGTCTGGGTTAAAAAACAACAACAACAATCACAACACAATCACAAAAATGTTTTACAGTAGGCCTATAACCCTGTTAATGGGTAGCCATTCCCATGCAACAGCAATATTAATACAATAGATAGCCTATTTTACTGTAAAATGTTATGAAAAATGTTTAGAAGTAAGAAGTATGAATTAACCTATATTTACGGACAAAATGTAATGTAAAACGCACTTCTTATAGGCTATTTCTAAAAAGATAAATCATGTAAATAACAAAATGTTTGTATTACACAATTTATAGCTACTTTATTATGTTGGTTAATGTCTTAAACAAATGTTGTTGTTTTTAAAGCAACATGTATGTTAGACTTCATTATAAGAACCTACATTTCAGGTGTATAAATAATCGACAAGCTTTGAAATTTGTCACGCAAACAGCGTCAACAAACTTGTGATATGTTAATCTGAATCTATCCACTGCCTTTTCTCTTCGCAAAAATGTTGAACATACCGCAACAAACCACATTTTATACAAATAAAGTTAGAATGGTTACATGCTTTGTATAGCCTACATTCACAATGCGTTTAGAGACACACCCCGGAGCGGGAGTGTTTTATATTCAAAGAGATGTGATGAGATGTTACCTGTGCGATATGCTTTATCTGATCTGATGCTTGCTTTTATTGCCTTTTTGAAAAGGTCTGAAACCGAATCCTTATGCAAATGCAAAGCCAATGCAACACATTTTAATTTAAAAGGACATTTATTTTTAATATTAGCCTATTATTGGGATTTCTTCATAGTGTCAGGAGTCAAAAATGCAAGGCATGTTTTTAACCAACTGTTAGCAAGGCTAAGTTTATGCCTATCTGCATTTGTCGTACTATCCGATTTCCTGAAATCACATAAGACACATTTATTTCAACAGATTAGATTCAGATGATAACAGTCTTACCTGACCTGTCCAGTTCACCTCTGATCGTCAGATTCCGAGCGAATCTACTTGAAGACATCCGGTTATAAGTCCGTGTATTTTTCTTCGTATCCTTGGTGACAGTTTTGTAATGCTCTAATATTGCATTTAAAATGTATGGCTGAATTCCAGCAGTGGAATTCAGCGGGTGAAGTTTGCGTTGAGCGCGCGCCTCGGAGACGCTGTGCGCGCGTGGAACTGTCCGTGGTTCTGAAAAGGCGTCGCGCGCGTCATTGGATTCCTTGAGAATTTTTGCCCCCCTCGACTGACTTACCTAAAAACGCAAAAGAATACTCGTTTCACTCGTTTGTTCACCATGCACAAAAACTTTTTAATACTAAATATTACAGAGTGTTAAAGAAATGCATTTTGAAGTGTCACAGCTGAGCCTTTTTATGCGCAAGTTGATTCTAAGAGAGAGTGTGCGCATCGGCGCGTGCTCTATATAAGACTTGATTTGCACTGATTTGATGTCTAACCCTGAATCTATGAATTGAAAATATCGACTGGATTTCTTCAACAGAAAAAAATATCATGAAGTGGACATGGAGGCTATGCTAGATTTCCAATTTACTGACCACTGGCAGAGAAACATCCACAACAGCATTTCTAACCTGTAACAGAAAAGATCACTGAGCGCATATTAACTACCAAGACAACTGTGCTGACGACAACTTCACTCAATCTGCTCTAACAGCTCCGTCCGCCAGACTATGTAAATGCGCCAAAACAAGTCAGGTGGTGTTGATTTTGTTTAATTGGCCAAGCACCAGTCTGTGACGGCGATATATTAGGGTTGGCTTGCCAGAATCACACATCATCGGATCAATGTCCCGTTTCAGGTCGATAGACAAGTTTCAACATGACACGAGTGGGCGCGCGAGGGCACGAGCTCCCGCGAGGATGCTCTCAATGAACATTGCGTGTCGACCTCTTACCAATCGAGCCAGTCACATCCCATCCTTGCCAAATGTTTATAACTTGAAAGAGCATGTTTGTAAAACCAGTTGGATGTTGACCGCCAGCAACGTCCAGAAAATTATACTAAAAAATTACTTGCAGACGGCATTCCTCGGAGAATCCTAAAACACTACATTGCAAGTGACAGAGTTAGTAAATAATAAATCGACATACAAAAGAACATGCTGTGCGCATCCCCTCAGAGAGAAAAGTCCGAGCATTTTAAGAGCTTTTTCGCGAGTAAAAAGATGTTCACCTAGAAATGAAAATTCAGTATTGATGATTTACTCACCATCATGTCATTCCACACTACTATATTTTCTTCTGTTGAACTCAAAGGGAAATGTTAGGCAGAAATGACCGACAGCCTCAGTCACCATTTACTTTCATGGCATCTTTGTTCATACAATGAGAGTGAACAGTGACTGAAACAATTTACCTGACATTTAATATTCCATAAAAAACAGACAGGGACTCAATGAACTTTTGAATCTAAAAACTTGCCAAAATCTAATTTAGCATTATCACACTGGTAACAGTGCTTTTGAATGAGTATAAGCTCAAACGTGTGGCTGGCCGTGTTGTCAGTACAGTAACACATATTGCAAGTGTGTTTCTGTGTATGACACAATATGGCCACCTTTTGTGTTTCTTTAGGCTAAAATAGTTTCATAAATAGTTTCTTTAATAGAAAATAGTTCAAAAAGATCATAACTCCAATGTTCCTCCTTTTCTGTGCTTCACTAAGCTTGCAGCAATCCACAAAGTGCATGGGGAATGGAGAATTTGTCGGAGCATTTGGATGCATCACTTGTATTGATCTGTATTGTCGATGGCAAATCCCCCACATCTCATTCAATCAGAATTTCAAAGTAACTTGATGGATGACAAAAGAGAATACTAGAGGGGATTCCTGACTCAGTTAATAGATAATAAGACAGTATTCTCTTCAATCAGGGACACTAGCATGTAGCAACAGAAAAACAACATTATATATATATATATATATATATATATATATATATGAAATAATAATTTAGCACTGCCCTTCAGAAGCAACAGAAGATACTTACTGGTACATGTTTCTCAGAAGACAAATGAAGTACAATTTACCTTGATCTTGTTGTGGTTTCTCTCTTTTGTGAAATCACATTTCTCAGAGATCTTTGATGCAGGAACTTTGTTCAGCTCACACTACCCCATACATCCTTTTCCAAAAATACCACACCCTATATATATTTCTGGGTAAGAGGTTTTTGTACCATGAGAGCTACTAGAATAGAATTTTCTGCTGCAAGCAACATTCCACACCTTTCATCTGGCTTCAGAAAGTTAAACCAAAGTCACACCCAGCAGACATAATAGTGTACAAATATGCAGCTAAATTACTTATCTTCTACAATCTTTTTTTGTTTTCACACCCCAATATCAGCATAATATTACTGCTTTTACTGTATTTCTGATCAAATAAATGCAATATTGGTGAGCATAAAAGATTAATTCAAAAATCATTAAAAATAATCTTATAGACCCCAAACCTTTGAATGGTAGTGTGTATATTTTACTTGAAGGGGTGTGCATAAGACTCACATGACACCTTCATAATCATGACATGACATGTGTCTTGAATATGAAGGAGGGTTTATTCAGGTTTTTTTGAGAACTGTCGTCAAGTGTCATTCGCTTAAGTATAACATTTTTAATGCCAATATGACAGTGTTTGAGATGTCATTGTTGTCAAAGATGGCCGCCGAGAGAAATGACTTGCCTGAAAGTGACTTTGATGTAGTTGCAAAGTTACTTTTAAGAAAGTCTAAAGTAGATTATGCTTGCTTCATTAATTTGCTTGTGAAAATGAAAATGAAAAATTTATATACAGTGCTTAGCATAAATGAAAACACCCATGCTTTGGAAATTGATCTTGATGCCTAATTAAAAAAATAATAAAAAAAAGGAAAAATCCCTTTGTGTATTAATGGCAAAAAACCACCCCTTTTTAGTCAACTTTAGCATGGGTGTTTTCACTTATGCTAAGCACTGTATATATATATATATATATATATATATAGTTTTTTATGCTAAGCACTGTATATATATACATATAAGTACATAGTTTTTATGTACTTATGCTAAGCACTGTATATATATATATATATATATATATATATATATATATATATATATAGTTTTTTATGCTAAGCACTGTATATATACATATAAGTACATAGTTTTTATGTACTTATGCTAAGCACTGTATATATATATATATATATATATATATATATTTACTGAATATGTATGGTAAAGAAAGAGAAAATATACTGATATACTTGAATATCTTTTGTATACGTAATCTATCTTTTTTTGTACTGATTTCCTCTTTTCCACAAAAAACAAAAAAAAAAACAACAAGAACAGATCAATTACATACATACCAGTCAAATCAAACCCACTCCAATCACTAATAAAAACATGCACTTTATTATTCTCACTCTTTTTCATATTTTTCCTACAGCATCAGACAACATTTGACATGAATTATTTATGTTTTGAAGCAAACGCTACTGAATACATCATGTAGAACGTGTAAATGAAATAAAATGTCTGATTAAGCGTCATTTAGTTGCGTTAGCAATGTCACCTCATTTTCAGAGCGTGTCATTTACTTGCTGCCTGAATGTAGTTTATGATTGCCGTGGGAAGACAAAAGAGAAAGTAACTTATACAATTTGTTTTCTTAGAAATAAATACAAAGCCAAAGAATAATGTGCATTTCATTAAGTCATTAATAAAAGGTTCTGAAAAGGATAATTGCTTGTTTGCTGATAACAAAGAAGTAACTTTTCCGGATATTTAAGGATGTTAATTTCAAAGACTTATGAAGAAATAAAAACAGCCTTTGATGATTTCAAAGACACTGACAAACTTTCTTCCTCTCACACATGCACCCACACTCACATATGCGCTCATCATTTACCCACATTCCCTCTACTCCGCTTCATCCCTCACTCCTCCCTGTTCCCGATTGTTTCTCCCACCATCACAGGCTTTTGTTGTCCATTATGGTCTTCCTCCTCTGCTTCGTTTTTCTTCTCCTCTTCCATTTCCATGTCCAGCTCTTCAAAGGAAGAGCCACTGCCAACAGACTCGCTGGACCCCTTGTCCTCGCTGGGATCCTCTTCCTCACCCAGGCCAGACTGAGAGCTTTCCAACAATGGGGCAGAGGCCTCCACCACATCCCTGCTCTCTTCAACCACTTCCTGGAACACTGAGCTTGACTTCTGCTCCAGCTCACCTGGAACATAAAGTATATTCAACAGTTTAATCAATTAACATTTTGCCCCCATAAGGCCGCACATATGCCAATACTTGAACCGAGGGGGTGATGAACTGAGAAATCAAATTTTCCTTGAGCTATTTGATATCTAAGAGGTCATCATATTATAAGAAAATCCCGTAAGTTTCAAAACTGAAAACGTCCTTGATAGTCCAATAAAAGCTTTTATTGACACCAGGCTCAGCAAGTGGGGAACAATGATGTCAAAGAGGATATAACACCACCCCTGCAGAAGAAGGTCAACGCCTACTTCAACATGGCCAGTTTAGCCACACACACCGATTTGCGCATTACACACATAGCTAAATAACATAGATGCCATAATGTTGTTTATATGTCTATATGGCGATTTTAATATCATTTAAAACAAACCATGAGCAAATTCATAAGTCAGCATCATTGCGGAGTATTTTCTCTTTAAAACCGCAGTGAACCAAAACCAGTCTCAAAACCCCAGTTTGATCGCCGGTGTTTCAGTGTGAAATACATGCCTTTCTCCACTGACGTGATGTTCAAAACGTTTCTAAGGATACTGATTTTTTGAAGGCAGACTGAGATGGAAAACGCGAACATGGTTTGTGTAACATTAGCAACACATTATTAGCTGTTTTATAAACGTAGTCAAGCCAAAGGCTAATCATATTAATTACCGTTGTATATCCAATGTTGTAGAAAGCAATACATAAAACGCATTACTGTTCAGATACATCGACTTGTAGACAACCCTGTATAATTCACTCCGTTTCTGGTTCAAACATATATTGCAGAATTAAACCAGTATTTCCACTTGTCATTGTGAAGCATTTACTACAGTAAAACTGAGCGAGTGGATCTCTGAGCTGGTGTGAGTGAGTGGAGCCGGGGCTAATTAGCATATTCATGAGCCAAAGGGAGCAAGGGTGTAGAGTTAGGCTACATTGAAGCTATATTAAGGTATAAAAAAATATATGTTTAAATATGTCATTTTGGTGATCAAAGATAAGTTTTAAGGCATACAATTATTGACTACAGGGGGACTTTAATATTATTAGGAACTATTTCTGAGTAAATATACTGTCCATTATCATTAAAAAGAAGCTGAGTTGAAGAACTTGAATTATAAAACAAAACAAAAAAAATGGAAGTTTAAAGTCCTGCTGTTATCACTGATAGCCTTTGGGGATCCTTTAATGGCATTTCAGCATGAGAGGGTTACAGTCATTTACTAACAGCAGTATAATTGCAAGAAGCTGTGCTGTTATCGTGACACACACCAGGTGAGAGTTATAATTGCCAAAATGCTAAATATGAGCTCAAACAACCCCCAAAGGCTGCGTTTGTGCCAAATAAAAACAATACCTCTGAAGAGATTTCAAATATTTAACTCCGAATTAAAGGTTAGAAGCCGGTAAACAGCTGCGATTCTCTTGGCTAAAAAAAAAAATCAATTCCTTAAAGAGGAAATCCAGCTTTATAAATCGAGTAACTACAGGTATACAAACGGCAAAGACTCAAAGCAGATGTGTATTGATTAGATTTAAAAAATCTAATTAATTATACAAAATGCTAATTTATTGGATAAATCAATAGTTACTGAAAAAGCATTCAAATTAAGATTAACACACTACATTATTGTGGCAGACAATCACAGCATTGGAAAGGCATTACAAAGCAGCTTTACAAAGTCAATAGATTAACTATTTATATATAATTGTACATAAGCCTAATTACAGATCGAGATCTTTTTGTAAATCCGGTAAAGGGCTTTTGTTGAAAACGGGAAAACGTGTAATTTGAAAGAATGGACAGAAGAATAATTAAATGGCATTGAGTCGTTTGGGCAAGAGGTCGTGATCTCTTTGTAAGGTGCAATTTAAGAGGGATATGACTGGATTATTATTTGCAGAATGACTGTTTATTGTCAGATTGACTGTTTCAGCGATCCCTTGCTAAAATGCTTAAACTGAACAAATAAAGTGACTGAATATAATGAGGATGGAGATGGATGAAAGACGGATAGAAAGAAGGAAGAAAGAGAATCTGCACTCACTGAGAGTTTTATATCAGCTATTTCAACTAGAATAAAAAAAAACTTCCCATTGTGTCTAATTTCTTTTAATACAGCATGTGAATTTAACCTCTCGTCCCTCCCTGCCAGCATTATTTTAGATGGATAGAATTGATCCCTCTATCATCTCCATCTCAACATATTAGATATGGCATCTCAATTAAACACCAGCTCTCTGCTCATTGCGGAGATTCACACAGGCAGAAAAGAGGAGCAATGAGGGGAAGACCTTTTCAAACCTCATTAGGAGCCACAACACACCTTATATTTGCCCACCAGAGAAACGTCTCCTCCCTAAGCTGCCAGAATGCTCTTTTATAACAGTAATAACTCTTGGGCAAAGCAAGAGCCTACTCCGATATGCAAACCATGACCACAATATGAATATGTATGTTGGAACATGGAATATTTTATCCATATTATATCTATTATATCTATTATATCTATCTATCTATCTATCTATCTATCTATCTATCTATCTATCTATCTATCTATCTATCTATCTATCTATCTATCTATCTATCTATCTATCTATCTATCTATCTATCTATCTATATCTATATATCTATATCTATATATCTATATCTATATCTATATATATATATATATATATATATATATATATATATATATATATATATGAAGAGTTCAGATGCAAAAGCCTCTAAGTGCCATTTGAAATTTTCTTCTAGAATGATCATTTTTATCAAGCTTGTATATTTAAGTTAAGTGATTTCACTTAAATGGCAATGATAATTACCTATTAATTGTTATTTAAGTGAAATTACTGAACTTAAATATACAAGTTTGATAAAAATCATCATTAAAGAAGAAAAAAGAAGAAGAAGAAAGAAAAAAGATAAAGAAGAAAATTTCAAATGGCATTTAGAGGCTTTTGCATCTGAACTCTTCATATATATATTAGAGTTTATATGTATTCTGTATAATTTTAACTAAAGGTTTCACTTTATTTGGATGGTCCCTTTAACACATTCTGTTGACTATAAGTAATGCTGCACCTACATCTCTACTATGCCTCACTAGAGTGTTAGTAGAGTATAAGTAGACTGGTAGGGTTAGGGATAGAATAAGTTGATATGTTGTTGCAAAGTTACTTATAGTCACTAGAATGTCTGTTGGAGGAGAATCACAATAAAGAGTTGGCAGATATTAAGCAGACAGTCTACTGATACTCTAATGAGAGTTAGTTGACATGTAGTTGCAAAGTTATAGTCAACAGGATGTTCAAAAGGGACCATCAAAATAAAGTGTATATAAATGGATAAAATAAAATAAAATAAATCTATAAATGGAGGAGAGGCTTCACATTATCCAAGTCAGTGTCAATGGACCCTTATATCTTGCAATAATCTGTAACCTTGGTCGGCTGAAATCTCTATTGTTACCCCTTAACCTGGTTTTGGTTCTCTGTTTGTGAATCAGAACCCCGGGAAAGTTTTCAGTACAATGATTCAGTAAGCAATTTTTTTCCAAAACAGCACTAATGTTAAGAAAACCAAGCTTATTACATCAGAGATAGACAGAATAGTGACGCGCTAAGTGAAATATTAATTCCAGGGTCAGTTTAGCTTTAAAACACGAGCTCTGTCGCATTATGTCATAGTTTCTGTGTGATACAGACAGACCAGAATATTAAAACTTGCCACCGCTGAATGGCAAGATGATATGCAAACTGCGTTTCTCGGCTCGATAAAAAAAAAATACAGATCGGTCATCATAACAACTTTCGGAGGGATTGGGATGGTAATGAATATGTTCGGTCTAGGCGGAATAGATCTGCTACGCTTCTGCAAAGCAAGTACCAAGACATGCTACTGCCAATACATTCACAGACATGCTGCTGCTGCACATGTAGCATAAATGAATTAACAGTAGCAGATCTATACAGGTGGTGCTGGGGAAGGTGGAGGGTTTCAGAAAGCACGCTGAACACTGCTAACACCAACCCCACCAGTATTTGAATGTTGAGCCGCAGCTCACCGGCAGCTGATGTAACAGCAACCAATCAGCTGCGCTTTCTAGCCATCCAGCCATCTCAGAACTGGGTGATTTGATGACAATCATCATTCAATTTGATGGTTTACTTTGCTGGATTTAGCAAATGAAGAAAAGATAAACACATTAAACAAGATAAAATGAATCTAATGACATTCATAACATATGTTTAATATATAAGCCCTAAAAAATTATGCTTAATTACCCAAACTGTTAATTTAAAACCTACTCGTTCTTGTCCAATTCACCACAGCTAATTATAACCTCTCAGTTGGAGTATGTGAGAAACCTTTTAACAACCCAAAAGGGCACCGCTAAGATTAGACTGGGCTTTCCGTTTCTGGTGAATGTGCCTGTACTTGTCCTTCAAATTGTGCACAGTGTACCCTTGGTGCTCTTGAGCACTGTGACACTGGAATTAGCTCTGTTCACAGCTTGGATGACACCCTCTAAAAGATCATTGGCACATCGGAGAATGGTCACTTGAGAGTACAACGTGATGATCAGAGGGTCCCTAATTCACCAGCTCTATCCATTTTTCCTAATCACTTTCCTGTCCATAATAACTCACCTTATTGTCATTATCGGGTTCAGTTCTAGACAGATCTCGGCCTGCCTGAGTCACAGAGTGTCAGACCACAGGAGATTAAATATGGGAAACATATTTGATTTGATGTTTTTCATGCATTTAATATATTTTATATACCACACACACATGAAAATACAAAACAAAAGATATCTTTATTAATTACTTATTCAATCTATATGAACGGCCTCTCAAATTTCATTCCACCGTTGTATATCACTGAACAAAAGAGAAACAGTTTTGACACTAACAGGTCAAATATTTGATGTGTGAGAAAGACATTCCAGTTGTAAAAATTGCTTCCAGGCTCTCCAAACGGTTTGAAATCTCAACAAAGCTGAAGCATATCTTTCCCCAGAAAGCCTCTTAAATCATATTTGCCTGAATTAGTTTCTAAATTGGGTCCGGTGGGATTGCTACCGGAGCTTCAGGATTTTTGTTCAGTAAAATGTTTAGACAAAGGGGATTTTGAAAGAGGAAAGGACTACATAATTATAGGTACGGTAAATTGAGATTGAGAATGAGTATAATAAAACCATATACATTAGATTTAATTGACAATAATCAATATGTGTGTGTGTGTGTGTGTGTGCAATTTGTGTGTGTGTGTGTGTGCACTGAAATCCAAGCCCTGATGGAAGCATTTCTCAATGCGTAATCTAAGGTTCTGTGGTTCAAGTTAAAGCTGCTAAGAAATGAAAGAGAGGGTAGAAAAGGAATGGATGGAAAGAAAGACAAAGGGTGAAAGAGAGATGTTCTGAACTGCCCTACAATCCCCCAAATGAAGGAGTTTGATTCACAACCTGCACTTGTCAGATCCAGCTGAGCAGCTGTGATTGAACGGCCTTTAATTAAGAGAGCTGCAGGCACACACACACACACACACACACATTGAGCTTAGCTGTTGTCCCGCTGGAGTAATGACTCTGTTTAGCTGTGTAGAGCAGAAAACAGCCCTTGGACTTTAGCATCAATCTTCACAGCCATTTGTTTTACTGACCACAGATTGAACTGTGGACAACTGCTGCTGTGACTGAGCTGCGCGCCTTCATTTTTCACAGTTTCACAGAGATCACAGCAGAGACATAATATGGCAGATAAGGTGTAACTACTGTGCAATTTCTCTGGAATAAATGCACATCATGAATGAGTCCTTATGAACACATTCATGCAAGCGCTCACATGTTGTTTTAATGTTGCTGGCAGGAGTGATTTATAGCATCTAGATCTACATAATAGTATGGGAACCCAAGCAGGGGTAACTGAACAAGGCAACATCATGACCCATATGTCTGTATCCATGCATGTAACTACAAGACAACTACTATTAATTAACTATTAAATGTATACATTTTCTTTGCTAGACTGCGATTTTACTGGACAAGGGATGAGAATCAAGAGACAAGAGTTTTTTTTCATGGCACTTGTTTCCATTACTGGAATGTCTGCACACTGTAAAAAAATGATTTGTAATCACAACATTTTTTCTTTTGTTAAATCAACTTGGATAATTTATGTAGTTCAGATAACATAATATTTTGAGTTTCTGATGATTAAATCAATCTCCTTCATTGTATTAACTCAATATTTCCATTTTAATGAACTTACATTTTTTTTAAGTTAAACCAACAATATTTTTTTACAGTGAAATCATGGAGGTATAACGACGTGAATAATAATAATAATATTAATAACAACAAGATCAATTTGTACTCTTAATTTACTTTAATATTAAATCTAATATTTAAATATTTTATATTTAAAATATTTCAATTTATTTAGTGATTAAGTGTGTCATTTAAGTAAAATTCATGATTATTTTGATTAGGATGTTGATTTTGTATTGTTGTTAATCATCATCATCAACACTAAATTTATAAAATACTAATAATCAATAAAGTTGCACAAATAAAATTTGCAGTGAAATTATGCATGTGTATAATTTGTGATCCTTCCAAAAAGAGTCAAAAACCTCAATACATGAAATTCATTCGCTGCGTATCCAAAAAAAGTCTTCTTTTTATTACAAGTGCGAAAAAGAAATGCACATGATGAATGAGTCCTTATAAACACATTCAAGCCATAATCAATATAGTTACTATTTTATAGTTACTCAACTCGGCATGTAATTTTTGGAAGGATCTTATTGTACCTTGGAATCATGTTGGACTAAAAATATGCAAGATCTTATTCTTTTTTTTAGATATTTGTGGCCAAGCTTGGTCTCCTTTCATAACAAATGTGAATGTTGCTCATGCTTATTAAAAATAGCAGATGAGTCATGAAGGAAGCGGGTTCGTTAAGTGGAATTGGCATCGGAGCCAGAACAGTTCAACTCTTTTCATTCTAAGTTGATGAGTGCAGTAACATACCCGTCCCTGACCCTGTGACATCAGCGTCTTTATGCTCCACTGTTTCCTCCGTGTCATCAGATGTTTTCTTCTCAAGAAGTTCAGGCACGCAGAAGTCTTTCTGATTCTCTAGTGGACACATGTAATGGATCAGATCTCCTTTGCATATCTCCAGGAATGGGTACGCATTTAGACTCCTTTCCTACAGGGGAAAATAATAATAATAATTTAATTAAGCTGCATACTAACATATAAACAATTCATATGATTCAGTCCTGTGCGGTGCTAAAACCAACAGGGAACACTGCTTCGAAACAATTATAAATGCTCCATGTAAGAAAGAAAATCATACAGGTTTGAATGGCAGGATGAGCAAATAATGAAAGAACTGTCAGTTATGTGTGAACTATTCCTTTTAAAGTTCATTTTAAATCTATATAGGAAAAAAAGGGGTTGTATTGAACACTTGACTAACATGATTTGGCTAGGCTAATATTTCATGGCAACATAATAGCTATAAACAACAAACCATGGGCTGAAAAATTAGGGGTGACACCAAATTATTTGCTCTATAATGCATTCAGTACTCATTATTTCTGTTCATTATAGTTAAGAAGGTAATGACACTGTTCTCTGCAAAAGACCTTCAATAATGTCCCACCTCATTAGAATCAAACTTAGGTCAGACCTTTACTGATCAAACACACCAGCCTTATGACAACTTTACAGTGGACTAGGCAGGAGTTTACACCAATTAGTCTGCTTTTAATGAAGCGGCCTAATTAATGATAAGACCAAATGCCAAAGTAATGATCTGAAAGAACAATGCAAAACAGCAAGATGATCAGGCTGTTGCGCAAATAAAATCGCTAAGTGTGAAATTGTGAACTAAGGTTAAGACATGCAAGAATATTATTTAGATATACCAGCTCTAGCAAGTTTTACTTCTTCTTAATCTTTATTTTTATTCATTTAATTCCATTCTACCAAAGCAATTGCACAGTAAGCCATGTATAAGTTTTATTTTTAGATATAGTATATCATAAAGCTCACATGTAACCAACAACTAGAAGCTTATTGTTCCAGATTACATTCAAATAAGAACAGATTTAAAATGCATAAAGTAAGAATGTAAGAATATTGAATATGACATGTCATAAAACATCATTAAGGTTTCCCTATATAGAACCAGAATACATGTGCAGAAAATACTTGCCGATGAATGGTAATAAAAATGCAGATGCTAGCGACATCCGACCGGTGCTGCAATATCTTTTTGTGCAGTGAATGATTTGATATATATTTATATATGTGGAGGATGTTATGTTCCACCAAGCCCTCGGGAACAGAACTTTCATAATTGTACAGGCTCTTCATGATAAGAGCTTTGTTTTGATACAGAATGGCCCATAGAAATGACAAGTGCCATAATAAAACAAGGTACAGGGCAGACACAAACAAAAACAAATATAGCGAAGCAGCAAATTTTATTTACATAGCACGTTTCCCAAACAAATGAATGCAGTTCAAAGTGCTTTACAGGCACAGGTTAGTGTCACCATTCTTGGTCGAGTTACACTACTTGTGTAACTGTATTTAAATTGGAAAACATGGAGGTGTTTGGTCGCTTCTCTGCTTGGATCCTAATGAATAAACTGGGCTAAGCTAAGTGCTCACAAAGTTTCGCCGCAAGACAGGGCGATTTAGTGCACGCACTGAGATTAGAGAGGTATCAACTCGTCTTAGTTAAGGGAATAACATAGTTTAATATGGAAAAAAAGCAGCTTGAAGGATCGTTTTGATCAAAAATGATGCAATTTCTTTGACGTAAAAATACCATAATATGTTTGCAGAGAAACGTGCCAAGTTCAAATACTTGTTTCTCTGAAAATCCCTGCCAATTTACTCAATAGTATTTTGGCACCCTGGATTGCCAATTGACAGGAAACACTGAGTATTGTAGCCATGGAAGCCAGGAAACAAACTTAGTCAGAGATCGCACATTCTACGCGTCCTAAAAAGCTTTGGTAATAAAAACATAGCAATACATTAGCTGATCAACGTACAATGTAAGGCTCGTCGTTTTCCATTGTCAACTGCGCTCATTCGTGTAGCGTGTCCTCAATCTGGCAACCCGCATTAGTGGAGGAAACCGTTCTCTCCAATATTTTGAATTTGGACTGCAGTACCCATTTCGACCACAACTGTCAATATTACATACTGAACCTTCAAGAATTTGAGCATTGTGACATAAACTCATTTAAAGTTGACAGCCACCGCCAGCTTTTTTTGACCATTTTCACAAAACTTCATGGCCCCCAGAATATTTTGTTGTATGCATATCTGGACATGCAATATATAAAACGAAGACCCTCTGCTTTTAAACAACAACAACGACGACGAAAAAAATAAGTTTTATTCTAGCTTCATGTATTATTTTATTATAAACACTTGAATTTGGGTAAGTTTCATAAAAAAGCAAAAAGCTGAGAAAATCATGTTTTTGTCAAAGATCGGATTGAGAACGATGATCATCGTTGAACATAGATGGGGAAGATTGAGTTCATCAACTTACATAGACCAATAGCTTGTATAATATTGCTTGTTTCTGCATATTCTTTGCATGTGTTTTCATCAGGAGATTCAGTAAACTTTAAGAATATGTATAATAGCGCCCCCTATACTTTATAACAGTGAAAACATGGAAAGCCGGAAAATTCCACAATAGCGTGGAAAGAGTTAAGCCCAGGAAGACAGAGAAGTGGAGTTGAAGGCGTTTAGTAGTTTCACTGTTCTCTTTCTCTTGGCTAATTGATTGGTTTTATTCTAATCCTCGGTGAAAAGAGTCCTGCTCTTAAGCAGTATGAATCACCTGATACACATAAAGACTCCAGCCCTTTGGGGACCACATGCAAATGAGAGCACATCTCCTTGAACCAGGACTGATAATGAGTGTGAGAAAAAAAAAAGCATTTAGAAAAAACCCAAAGACAATCCACTCCACACTTTCGCCCCCATGAAAACAATGTCAAAACACCAAAGCGAGAAACAGCCATTTAGGCATATTGCAAAAATCTTTTGTTTACTGTCAAGACTGAGGATCAATGTACTGTACATTTTGTTATATGTTTCTAAGCATGTCACTAGGGTCCTTTAAAAGCTTTCAGTCTCTTATAATAGTGTCATTTGATGGCTGTTCATCAACTGCGTCAAATAGCATCGCAGTAATAACTCTCTTCCAGACACCTCATTAGTGTAACAGCTTGTGCTCTCCATCACGGCTCTGAGTGACACTTTCAGTAAGACAACAAGCATTTAGCAGACTAATAAAAAACAGGAATTCTTTTATTCATTTTACACCTTTCATGCATGTCATGTAATCTAATAATGAACCTAATTACCCACTATGAGATTTAATAATGACTAATAAAGCAAAGGGTACTGTGTATAGCTTGCACCCTAAGAAAGAAGTTTTTTGATAACTTTGTCTTTGAAAGCGTTACTGTATCATGGGGATAACAGGTACTATTTGCACTTTAAAAGGTAATTAACCCAAGACCTCAATATCCTTTGTGACTAATATATCTGATCATTTGTTACAAAATGATCATGGTTTGTAAATTGTGCTGTCGAGTACAGAAAGACTGAAAAATAAAACTAATGTGGATTGAGGTCTGTTTAGTTTGACCTCTATGGCTTTAAATGATCAGTATAACCGTGAACTCTATTTATCTAACCACACACAGCTTAGATTAAGCCAGGATTGGCCTTAGTTAGTATCAATGTAGTATTGTAATAAAACACAAAGACTCATGGACAATCCTGAAATGTTTACATAAGACAAACACACACACACATGCTTCTATGGTAAGACACCTGTATAATTTTGAATGCACAGCTGAAAAACAGTTAAGAAAGCCACATATATACGGTAAATAACACCTGGGGGTTACAGCGTCACCCAATTTTCAGAGCTATGAATTTCTTCATTTCCCGTCCATCATAAAAATAAATAATTAACTAGCCACTAGATTAACCAAGCCTAATATGATAGAAAGTATGCTTCCGGCATGAACATTTTTAATTATGTGGATACGATTCTCCATTTTCCTTGTTACCCTTTTGTATGCGAAACCACACCCCCAGTGGTGGCCGCGGGGCGAGCATTAACCAGCCCAAAGAGTCGACATGACTCCACTTACCCTGAGCTAGACGGGGTGCAATCAGGAGATAATGAAAGGAAACGTCGCTTCCACAGCAGGATGATAAGTGTCCATTTTATGTGAGTAAGGAATCATGAGAGCTCGACTGAGGGGCTTTTTCTCTCAAAAGTGAACATAACAGCTGCACTGTTGTTATACTGGCCGTTATACTGGCCAAGATCTGCACTGTTGTTATACTGGCCAAGTTCCATAACAACAACGTATTTTAAGCAAGTCCTGCTTAAACCAGCTTAAAAGGTGATTTGTAGGTCCTCTAAGATGGTTTAGCTGGTCTCCCAAGGCAGGCCAAACAGATTTAAGATCTGGTTAAACTATATAGAGCTCCTACCAAAATAAGGATGCACTGATATTAAAAATTAGGGATGCACAATATATCTTGCCGATAAATGTTCATTTTTAATGTTATTGGTCCGATAAGAAAATTAGGTTGATATATTAAAGCTAAATATTTAATGAGGTGATGTGAGCATTATGGAGCATAAAATACACTCTCATGTAACGTCTGTTTAATTCACACTGGAGATACACTTGCCCAGAAAGTCCAGAAGTGAGACTTATAAACATATGATGTTCCAGGAAATCCCTTATATGGACAAAGACATCCAGATATCGCTAGCTGAATAAAATGCACAACGCACAATCACATTAAACTGTTATTAAATTATTATTACTTTTAAAGACTACATTCAAATGCAGAATTAAACCCATATAAACCTATTCTATAATCTCAATTGAACAATACAGCACTGATGTATCATGCATCCCGAATAATCAAACCAGACCAGGCCAACCATCTTAGACCATGAACCATTTCAGGCTGTACAGGTCTCTAAGATGTATTTTCATAGCTCTTTTTGAGACATATATAGTGGAGACAGGACAAGACATTAGTGTGGAACACACATTCACATGAGCACCACTTGTCCAATTTGTAATGTGTCAAGAGTTAAACACTAAGCATTGGCCTAACTCTATCCAT